GCCTACGTCATTCACCGAGCCATCGAGTTGCCTTCACTCTCAACGAGCAGTAGCTCGTCGTCTCACTTATCGGCCGTTTGAGACGACAACTGTGATACATATTGAAACGCTATATTTTTGAACATGGGCACATATCTTGTTCACTTGTTCCCGCCTGCGCTTCGCTGCCGAGGATACCCTCTTGGCTTCACACACATTGTTACGAAAACAACACAACCTACCTTCCCGTCTGCTCAATAAACGCGTTTAAGCGGATCTCTTATACTCAATGAAATACTTATTACGTATAAGCTATTGTTATTTTGGGGATAGCACCTTCAAACAAATTAGAGAAGTACCTCAAGAGGGGAATTTTCGTCCTCTTTTGGCTAATCCAACGTTATCCGATATGGAATATAATTTTGTAAAAACTGAGAGGCTAGATAATAACAAGGTATTGTTTCTCTGAGGATTATGGATGAAACCTAAATTATACACAATCGAAACGAAATAAACTTCGAAAAATGCCTTGGTAGTGTTATAAAGGGATACTACATACAATAGAACTCATATAACGGATCATAATAGTAACTTTTTAGACATTTCAATCAAGGTGGTTGATAATAGAGCAGTACAACGAGCAAGCGAGAGATCTCGTCCAAGCCTAGGGTTACTCTAAATTCAACGTCTTCCGATTATCGCATAACAACACTAACATTTCTAATTTGAATAAAATCTTTATATATACATACAGGGGGGGGCCAATAAAAAAAAGACATTTTGTCTCCACTTCCAGATGGATTTAAGCACATTTTGCTCAATTCAGACCGAATGGTTCCAACTTATTATTAAAGAGCGCATTCCATTCTATAAGAAAATCTTCATGGTGGCCACCTACGTGGACGGCATCAGAAGAATTGCCCTGGAAACATGGTGCACTGGTCGATCTCAATGGGGTCTTCGAAGGATCGTGTACCATAACGACCCTTACTGGAAAGCTAGTTCGAGGGGATTTGCACAGTGGTAGCTAATGCCTCTAGAAAACTATCCAACATTAAATCGATTCACGAAATTGCGTAAGAGCTTCAGGCTGAAGCTCTTACGGTAGACCTCCTTGAGCCTGACGACGGTGACAGATGACGTCATATTCTGAAGACGGTGAGGGCAGTGAAGGAGGGCCTGCGTCACTTATAGAGGGACACTTAGGGAATACTCTGCTGAGGAACTCCCGTCAACGACAGCAATCTCTGCGAAGAAAAAAGAGCCGAAGTCCGACATAGGCAAAATGTCTTTTTTTTTTGGCCCCCCCCCTGTATATATATATATATATATATATATATATATATATATATATATATATATATATATATATATATATATATATATATATATATATATATATATATATATATATATATATATATATATATATATATATATATATATATATATATATATATATATATATATATATATATATATATATATATATATATATATATATATATATATATATATATATATATATATATATATATATATATATATATATATATATATATATATATATATATATATATATATATATATATATATATATATATATATATATATATATATATATATATATATATATATATATATATATATAAATTATATAATTATATAAAATTACAGGTTACGAAAGCAATACTATTAGCCAATTCAGAAGAATTTATTGTAACATTATAAGATGTATATGTAATAACACGTATATTAGCTACAAATATGGTATAGAAAACAATTAAAAAGGTTTAAAAAATTTGAAGAAAGAATTCTGGAAAACTAATCCCATGAATGGTCAGGCACTACATATTATTGTTTTGATTAGGTAAGCATGACACTCCACAGCTTGACTCTTCCTTTCTCTGTTTGAATACCTTAACAAGTTGCTACAGTTAAAAGACACCTACTTATGACATATGATCACCTCAAGGTGTATTTTATTTTAGACTAGTAGACCACCAATACTGAAAGGAAATAAGGTGCTCTAAATAGGAGATATGTCGTCGGTTTCGCGGACAACGGCTCTTTTTTCGAATTTAAAAAGCACTGGCGTGTACCTCAGCTGCTAACATTATTTTGGTTTGATTTACTACATTTCATTTCTCTCCCAAAGTTACACTTCACTCCTTCATTCACATCCTCGTTCTCCCACGTTCTTTTTTCTCTTCTTCTTCATGTAGTAATTCGCCACTGCCTTACAATCTCCTATAAATACTACCTCAATATGGGCTTCCAATCTTGATGAGAACATAGTGGTTCATCTGAGTGAAGGCGAAACGAACCACTGACTTTTTATAATAGTTTGATTATACTCCTTACTTTCGTTCACATCATCTACTTGCTTCCTTTGCTTTTCTTACTTGCACATGAGGTTAACTTGATAACGCCTACTCAATTAGATGCGAAACCGCCATCCTTTGTTTTCTGATTCTAACCAAGTATAGCGAATGTAGCAACATAACAGTAGTAGTAGCCAGCAGCAGTAACAAAGCACATGGAATAGAATAGTTCCCGGCTCAGCTGTATGCTACAATCGTTCTTCGGTGCCCATTGCTGGTATTGTTGTCATTGTTGGAGTGAAAATCAAAATTGCAAAATTCAGTGACTAATTGGTGTGGAAGAACTTAAAAGACACGTACAGGCGGAAGAAAAACCCGCCGACCGGGTTGGCGGCTACCATGATATACGCAGTGGCTATGTCCTTTTTGGATGTCTGATGGAGTTTCGTGAGCCGCACGTAGGCACAACAATAAAAAGAATATCCAGGCCGACGAATCTGCGCAGTAGAACGAGAGCTACTTCCTCGTAGCGCCTCTACTGGACGAACACCCCGCGAGCGCAGATGTGGAGATGCGCGCAGAGCTCGCTTCCTCGGCGGGATCTGACGTGCTCACTCCTTAGCAAGATCCGAGCTAGTTTTTTTCTTGTGCAGGTCAGAGCCTACGCCCGGCAGTGAAACCAAATAGTAGAAGGAAGGATGGTGACTGGTGATCGTTTTATTTTACGATTGATTAAGAGGATAACAGAATTTGCTTTAGTGCTCATGAAACTTACGAGAATGTTCCCAAGCTTGGCGAATAGCTTCAAGTGCAGCTGAAGCGTTTCGAAGAAGAGGAAACTGCAACAGCTGCAGCAAACGCTGCTGCATCGACGGCAGCAATAGCATCTTCAGTGAAAGTGAACAAAATTTCAGCTTCTGGTTATCAACTTGGATTTCTCCAGCATTGCGTTTATCAATAGAGAATAAATTCTAGGGTTCTAGATCGGGAATATCTCCGCGCCAGGTTCATTAATCACGTTGCTTGTGAGGTCAAGATGCAACAGATGGCAACGATCATTATACTCGGCTTCGAAAATGTGCTGAACTTCCAATGAAAAGACATCACATGGGTGCAGCATAGCGGACCCTGCGACGGCGCGGGACTAACGCTAGGGAGAAGAAGAAGAAGATGTAGTGGTGCAGCATGAGCTCCAGGCAATCGCTCAACCGAAGTCCGGCGAAGAGGTCAGTTGAGATTGTGTCCTCTAGTAGTGGGAGCCTCGCGAATTGTTCTGCTATAATATCTAGCGGTCAAAAGTGAAAACAAGGAAACTGTGCGTAGTGTGTAATGGTAACGTAATTTCACCGCGTATGCGCTAGTAGAATTCACCACGCTAGCGGAGCGCCTCTGCGATCACAGCAATCTCCTTAGCCGCTCCCTCACAATATCTCTCGCTCTATCAACTCGTGTTACGTCCATATCGCTGCGAGTTGCCCCGTTTTGCGCAGGAGGCTGGATGCTTCGCCTAGTGCGCCTCTGTGACGCTTTCTTGTAACCACTTGTCCAGCACATGAAAAGTGAACCTTGGGGTTGAGGCCGCACTTACGTCAAACGTTGGAATGCCGCGGTCGTATCTGTTAGAGCTAGTAGGATGATGGAGAGTCTTCTTTCATAAAAACCACTATCTACTGCCGGAATACACGAGCTACTACAACGACTGTGGTTGGTGTACTGAAATGTTAAAATGACATCTACGCGCCTTCGCACCTTAATTATATATGTAGTAGATATGTATATTGTAAAAATACCATGCTAATGCACGCATGATACTTAAGTGATTGACTGGTTATTGCATGTTAAAGTTGCCACGTCTTCATGTGCACTGGCGACAGTAGCTACTAGACACCGTAATTTAGTCCAGTTCTGATATACTATCTCCATGTGCCTCGCCCGGAGCAGAGACTGCTTCCATATATTGTTGTAGATTGTTTGTAAGATAAAGTTTCTTAAGGGAAAAAGGGGACCATCCACACCACACAAACCAAACCACTTATGGGCCGAACAAATCCCCTTATAAGAAACGTTGATGACAAAACAATCTTCCACAAGAGCACTTGGAAGGAGAGTTCACTTCACTTCCACTCACTTCCAAATAGTGCAACCAGCTCAAGAGCCTTTGGTCGCGGTGGAGCGCCTTTGGCCGCGGTGGAGCTGGACAGCTGCCGTGGGGAAGCACCACTAAGTGAGTGGAATACCATCCACTTATCACAAATCATCATCATGGCTGTCGTATCCCAGAATGCATACTGTCAGATCAAGGCGGTAAATTTGACAATAAATCAATGGTTGAACTAACACAATTTATGGGAGTCCGGCAGATACTCACTAAAGGATACAATTCACGCGAGAACGGACTGAACGAAAGGTTCAATAAGAGTATTATCGCCATGTAAGAAAAAAGGCAGATCTCTCTATATGGAGTGAGACAACCTTCGCAGATATATTAGACATAGACTCCTATAAATGAATTAGTGACAGGCTTAAAAGTAGTTCGAGACTTTGCACGAGTCCCAAAATCAAAAAGCTCGTGAGCGCATGAAAAAGTACTACGACATCTAAGAAGGTCGTGGAACGACCTTTCGCCGTAGGGGAGAGAGTGTACATGCGCGTCCCCATGGAAAAGGCTGCGTCAACCCATCCGAAGCTCGCCAATGAATGGAACGGACCCTCAGAATAATAGAAGTCAGCGATAACAGTGCCCTCATTACCTCTTTAGCTGGTGACGCTGAGCCGCTAAAGGTGCAGTTTGACCTTCTTAAGAGAGTGCCAATGGGAATTGATAATGAAACGGTACAAACTGTTTTACAGCGAAGAAAAAGGGGGAGACCTAAGAAACGTAACCGAATTCATTGTAAAGCGACTTGTTTCAGAGTCGACGTCGGGCCTCTGCAGGAAGATCCGCTGCATCTCTTCCATGCGTGTACGTGCAACATCTTCCGAGGCAAGAATCAGACCGCTCAGCCAAGTTTGTGCTCGGACCTTGTAGGATCCAAGCCCGTCAACAATATGTTCCAATTGAAAAACGTCGCGTCTATAGTGCTCCTCATCCTGGGGGGATCGACGCAAGGAGGAAGAGCTTCTCAACAAAGGACTCAAAACACTTGACAGTCTTGGGGCTAGCTCATGCGATCGCCGCTCATCGTTCAAGTTGTTACTCCTTCAGCACCGCGTTGAGAAATGCTCAAGGGAAACGCATCATTCATCCTATGCTGTTTCCCGCTTTTCCTGGATACTACATCGGCTCGTACTGTGCACAAGCAGTCGAACGTCTCGATCAGATACCGAGAGAGTAGCATGATTTACCGTGAACCCCACCATCGTCGTTCTGCCATTGCCGTTCATTCGGGCCGAGAAGGAGCTCGAGGAAAACGACAAGGTCAGCATTACGGTTTATTCGACGCTCGATGGACTAGCAGCGGAACTCAAATGCTCGTTCGATCTCTGCCGCCGTAGTACTGCTTTCGGCCTAATGATATGCCGGCCACTGTTCAGCTCAACCATGTGGTACAGGCGGTGGAGTGCCATCTACAATGTGGAGGAATTTTGGACACGTATCCGCCGCCGAAGAGACGAAGAGACGTAGTGAAATGTGGCATGCAGTGAAGAAAGTCTGCGCCGAGGTGGTGAGGTACTCACAGGACCCGCCCGAGGATTCGATGCTGATGGAATCATTTGACACCAACGATCCACTGGAGTACCAGCATAGAGCCTGCCATGTCAGCCTATCGACGGGTGGCAATGAAGGGTTCCCTGGGAGATAGCGGTCTTTTCTTAATCAAGCAAGAATTCACCATGAGAAGTTTTTCGTTTGCCAACTTTTCCGGGTGGAGAAGGAAAAAGAGATTTGACCGAGTAAAGAGCGGAGGACCGAAGCAGAACAAACAAAGGCCGCAGCTTAAGAAGAAGCAAAGATGTCGAAGCCTCATGGAAAGTACATCTCCCGATGTTCAAGATAACGCTCCTGTTATTGCACGTGATGATGCAGGAAAGGGAAAGAAAGAAGTAAGTGCTGTCAGGAAGTCAGTTCCCAGAAGGGGGTTTGTGAGACATATGATGTTTATGCACGTGTGTGAACCTTGAAGGAATCTTGCGCGGAAAATTCTTGCACTCTTTCCTAACATGAATATGTCAGTTGTGATCACTGGAAATAGCACACAAAGTTTCACGCATGAAGATTCGGTTTCTGAAGAGAAACAAACGTACAAAAACTACACGTTATGGACCATCGAAGGACCAGGAGGCAGAGCCAGGCGAGGCATGGAAAGAAGACGGCGTTTGGCCGGCTACGTACCAGGCGACGCAATGAGAGAATCGGGTTAAAGCGCGCGATTTCGGAGAGTGGAGACAAATCGATCGATGGAATAGGATGGAGTAGAAGTGTAAGATGTGAATGCAACGAAGCAGAAGGCCAGAAAGAGCTTCTAGTGAATGCACTCCAAGAACCAAGTTTGAGCATCCCCGTCGCCAGCATTCGTGAAAGACGTCCGTGGGCAATTCGAACGCGTAGCAGCCTTTTCGAGTTTTCGAATTTCTAATCAAAACGAAAGCAATACTTCAGTTCTTTTCACTATTATCGTGGATAATGAGTCTCAAGCCAGTGATTTATGGCTGAAATAGAATCATGATTTTTCCGCGCAAGATTCCTTTAAGTGATTGACTGGTCATTGCATGTTAAAGTTGCCGCGCGGCGCTGATACTAGTTACTGCGACAACCGTAGTTAGTTTAGTTTTAATCTGCTAACCTCGTGTGTTGTCGTCCGGAGCAGAGACTCCTCCTATATCGATTCCTCGACCATCGATATCCAACCGATAGATTCATTGTAGTTCATTGTAATGTGATAAGACGTTCATGTTTGTTTATAATGATGTTCCAAAACAACCAGGCTATAAAAGCCCTTATGGCTAGTAGGATTCACTTTGTGTTCTTGTTCTACATCCTTCGTCTGGTCGTCATCTCCTGTACGACTCAATAAACTGTTCAACTATCACGACGTTCCTGCATTGCTGCTATTATACGCCACTGAACCACCACACATCGACTAAACCTACATTCATCGACGGTACCTCTATAGCTCCCATATATTGTTGTATGGTCGTCTTGTAAGAAAAAGTTCCTTAAGGGAGAAAGGGGACCAACCACACCACACAAACCAAATCACTATACATCTGAAAAAAAAACATTGTCCTCGATATGAATATGATTTTAAGTGTCAACACCAACTTCCATTTCGAAAACACAAAAATTTTATTTTCATTTTTCAGAAAAGGGCCACTTTGCCGATTGTGCAAAAATATAAATCCACCCCATGTTTCTCGGTTGAACTTCATTGTTATTTGGCGTAACTGTCAGGTTGTTTCCACTTCCTCTTTTTAGGTGATGACGAAAGTAACACCGCTGTAGGACTTTGGAAGAAGGCAAAGCGTGGCAAAGCGTGGCAAAGCACGGCTAGAATCAAGCGCGGCTTGACCGCGCTGATTCTAGCCCCTTTTATGTAATTACTAAGCATTTCGCCATTTCACCTATATGGAATCCAAAAGAGACCTGTACATGTTAGGGTGTTGGCGGCTGGTTTAGGTCGATGGACAGAGGAAAATGGAGTCGACGTGCGAATGGTCAGGAAGATAAGGAAGGCGAAGATAGGATCACATGGGATATAAAGAGGACAGTATGTGACAATAAACAGTTCACATTGCAGTGTCTCTGACGTCCAACTAGCGATCAGGATGACATACCTATATGGAACCCGCCACGCTATGAAGGGCCACGAAGAAGCTCGGTGGGCACGAGCCCTGAGCCGACGTTTTCGAGAAGGCGCCATGAAGAAGTACCTGTGGAATCCACGACTTCTGAGGCCGTTGCAGCCATGAAAGGAAGTGGTAGCGAGACTTTATAAAATTATAAATGTTGATGATAATAAAGATGGTGTTGTCATTGTTGTTGTGTGGGATGGAAAGGGATGCTTGGAGTAGGTAGAGTGACCTGACGGTCACTACGGGGGGATGTTATGGTGTTGGCGGCTGGTTTAGGTCGATGGACAGAGGAAAATGGAGTCGACGTGCGAATGGTCAGGAAGATAAGGAAGGCGAAGATAGGATCACATGGGATATAAAGAGGACAGTATGTGACAATAAACAGTTCACATTGCAGTGTCTCTGACGTCCAACTAGCGATCAGGATGACATACCTATATGGAACCCGCCACGCTATGAAGGGCCACGAAGAAGCTCGGTGGGCACGAGCCCTGAGCCGACGTTTTCGAGAAGGCGCCATGAAGAAGTACCTGTGGAATCCACGACTTCTGAGGCCGTTGCAGCCATGAAAGGAAGTGGTAGCGAGACTTTATAAAATTATAAATGTTGATGATAATAAAGATGGTGTTGTTTCACGTTTCCTAAAATCTGTGACTGAACCGGCCGGAGCGGGGTGACATTGGTTGTGTGGTACCATTTACTGCCTGTCCTCACTTCCCTTACTGTTTTACTTGTTCATTACGAGTTTTTCATCTCTGTCAAACACATCTGGAGAAAAAAAAACTGAGAGAAATGCAGACAGACTGTAAAAAGTATCGGGTAGAAAGCTAAACTTGATGCAGCCGGCTCAGCATGCAACGCTAAGTTTCATTGAAGATCACTCCTTTATAGGTCAATCAGTGACTTTACTATGAAAACCTGGTGTATGGGTTTGATGTTGACGTAGTTTTGATGTAATGTAATCTTTTATTGGTGTTTTGATGATGTTTTGTCTGATGTTAACGCTTTTGTGACTTATTGCTGTCAAACAGGAAACTATATTGTTCTTTGACTGGCGCAATTCGCATGGAAAAATTTGACCTCGGCGACCTATCATGCCTCAAAGCTGGCGGGTCCGGCGATCTCCGCCCACCGATCATCTGATCACTCGCCGTAGTTCAATACGTGGCGAGTGATTAGATAGCTGAGAGAGCGTAGTGTTGAAGAGGGCACAGCGATGAGAGTCGCATCAATGCTCAAATCAACGGGCAAGGAAGGGGTCCCATTTCTCGGGTTCTGGGCCGTTTCTCATGGTTCTTCCTTCTTTCGTGTACCACTCACCATCCCTAGGTTAATTTGAAATTTCCATCGTAAATTCGTCCTTAATTGCTCGCCTTGAACAGAAGTTAGAGAATTTCATGCTTGTAACCGTCTTTCTTGAGGAGTGTGCCAACAGTACGTAGCATAAAAATGCGCTCGATATCAGATTTGGCGACAAAACGGTGGATTGAGCGAGCTGGATACCAGCGAGATATTGCTCCTGAACTCGGAAATCCATTCCCTTCAAATCCAGATCTATTGGTGCGAGCAGAAAGCTTACCGTACTTCTCAATGGTCTTCATCAAAAGTTCCGTGAATGTTCTGAACCGCCTTGCAATACAACACAATCAATCAGCCCGAACCACAGAGTTATTTGACCTGTTTTTTGTTTGTTAACTGCTGTTTTTGGCCGCAGTTCGCCTTGCGAATGTTTCACAAGAATGCTGGGTTGTGAACAAAACTTTCGCCCCAGGCGGGACTAGAACCCGCAAAGCGAGAGGTGCGGGTTCTAGTCCCGCCTGGGGCGAAAGTTTTGTTCACAACCCGGCATTTTTGGATTGTTTTTCAAGCGTTCAATGGATTGTCCATGCTCGATGTGGAACAGTTTCATGTGACGAACCTTAAAAACTGAACGCGAGGTTACCGAAATAAATATACAGAATATATGTAAATCAAAAACTCCTGGTGTTTATAATCAAGAGTTGTGAGCGACTCGCTCTTGTAACTGTAATTTTTGTAACCTCTATGATCTTTGTCCGGGCCAACAAAGCCTTCCATCCCTCCGGGGTCGGTTAATTGGTACCAGACTTGTCTGGGAGGATAAAAACACTGACTTGTACATCGGCTGGCCCCCGCAAGTCATTGTATAGGCCACATCGCATTCAAACGCCACTACGAATGTACAAATGGAAGTAGAATGCGTGCCGCATCCCAAAAAGGGATTGATCAACGGCTTCATCCTTTATTTTTATCCTTTTGATCTCCTTTTGCATTCTCTTGTAATTATGTTATTGCTTCTACTATGCATTAGTTCTGTTT